TGTGTAGAATAATTTGAGGAACCCTTGAATAAGCCAGCTCCATTGAACTCACTGGACACCGAAGCAACACACACAGACCTTACTGCAGGTGTCACTTCACCAACGATCGAAGAAATCAAGATGGTCATCAGACAAATCAAGCGTCGGAAAGCAGTAGGACCCGACAAAATACGAGCTGAAGCACTCAATTCAGACATACAAGCAACTGCAAACATGCTCCACATTCTATTCAGGAAGATTAGGGACGAGGAATAAGTTCCGACAGACTGGAAACAAGAATACCTCATTAAGATACCAAAGGAGATTTGAACAAATATGAAAACTACAGAGGCATCACAGTACTTCGGTACCGGGAAGCGTTTTCAACAGTGTTGCTGGACCGGATGAAAGATTCAGTAGACGATCATCTTCGAGATCAACAGGCCGGATTCCGTAAGGATCAGTCGTACACAGACCGAATCGCGACACCACGGATCGTCATTGAGCAATCGATAGAATGGAACTCGTCACTATACACCAACTTCTTTGACTATGAGAAAGCATTTGACAGGATGGATAGGAGAACCTAATGGAACCTTCTTTGATACAGGTGTACCTGAGATCGTTAATATACGGAATTCATAAGACGGACTACACTGAAGGAGGATATTTAAGAGACGCATTCCAAGTGCGGACCAGAGTCAGACAAGGATGCTTATTCTCCCCCTTCCTCTTTTTTCTGGTGGTTGACTGGATTATGAAGACCTCCACATCTGAGGAGAAGCACTGAATATAATGGACAGCTCGGTATCAAATAGACGATTTGGACTTCGCAGATGAACTAACTTGGCCCTTCTGTACCATGCACAAAAGAAAATGCAGGTCAAGACAACCAGTGTAGCAGAAGCCTCAACATACACAAGGGAAAAACCAAGATCCTAGAATACAACACGGAGAACACCGACCAAATCAAACTTAATGGGGAAACTCTCGAACAGGTAGGATAGAGTTGGATGGAAATTGCTGGTGGGCGGCTTATGCTCCTCCACAAGAGATAACATGCGTAAGTAAGTCTTCACTTCTCTGGTTATTTTTAAATGAATTCGTTCTTAGAAAACATCAAAAATCGCACTTCTCTATACTTAATCTCTTCAAGGAGAAAATAAGAAGAGACTCGAAGGGATAATTACAAGAGGAAGTCATCACCTCATGAAAACTAAATACTACTGTTTAAGCATGATTAGAAAATCCCAAATTTGACTGCTGGGAGAATTCAATCGAAGTTGAATAAATCATGTAACTCATTAACATGGTTAGCTCAAAACATGACAGTAGTCCAGGAATTCATTGAATTTTGGGCTAGGGTGTGTACAGAGTTTGCACTTCCTGTATTTATTTATGTGAACACAGAAACATTAGTACAAGGTGGCACCAAATACATATGCGCCACACAATGACAATGCCATTAGTAGTTATCATTGATTTGTGTGAGGTCTGTGTTACTGCCCAGGTATCCAAGCCGAGGCAGGTGATTTCCTTAGGGTACAGTCCCCGGTCTCTGACTCCGAGTCCAAACCACAAGGCAGTGGAGCAACATAAGGAGATGTAGTCCCATGACAATCAGTGACGGATAACAGGTTTATACGTCACTTGTTCTGTCGGGATCCTGGAGCCCATGTGCACCATTGGTTTTGAATCCTGGTGCTTAATTGAAATGCTGAAGGGAAACGAAAAGAAAGAGGTCGAAGCGAATTGGAAGCAGAAATGAAAAGGATGAATAGCAATTGGAAAGGATTGCCCAGGACAGAATGGGACAAAGATGCTGATGTGCGGCCTATGCTCCTCCACGAGGGTTATTATGATAAAACCGTCCAAGTATCAGTGTAGTCATGAAAGTTTACGAGTGCCAAACAGAACGAAACGCGCATTCTATATCCCACTATTAGTTACAGACCAACTTTGCTAAAAGGTAACTAGATACTCAAATATTATTCAGTTTTATCCTTTTACAACCATAGGAACACTCCTGGTTGTTAATTAATGAGCAAGTAGAACTGTCTTGGTCAGTTGTTTTGCTCCTTGCCCTACTCGACCGTACAATACATCACGGTGTTACGTCCGCACGGTAAAGTCTCATTGAATGACTACAAGACAGTCGTTTTTTCCAATACTAGGATAATAGATTTTAAAAACTCAGATAACTACAACGTAGTAACGGGTCATCAGACTGACCTCAAATAAAAAATCGATCACAGTTACACTGTAATTATATTTTCAGTGACAAGGTTAAAGGTCAACACTGGTTAAACTTATAACCATATTACGGAATTCTTTCGTAATTGCCACTTAATAGTAAAGATAAATCACTTCTATTTGGTGAAGAATAGTAGGAATAATAATAGTGAACGAAAAACTAATATCTACTACACAAGTTCTGGGCATGTTAATTCAGTAGCCTAATGGATAATGACACTCGTTGTTGTAAAACGATGCTTGCTTCATTAAAGTATCTGTTGAGACACATTACAAGAATGAGATTTTACAGAAAGTAATATGCAAGTACACACTGAAAATATCTAACAGAAGGGTTTACGATGCATACTTTTTCCAAGGTGGGACTTATCAGCCGGATATATATACTGTTGTGTTAAATGTTCACACTCGCGGTTCCAAGTACCAGAACGTTCTTGTGCTTGTTCAATGAGCATATTTTAAATTTACGAAAATGGATTCCCTACCATTCGTTTAAGGACGCTATTATTAATCTGTATTAATTTTATCGCTGTGTTGTAATGTGAAATGTAACAGCGACTTAAATCGATAGGCGTCTGCGTTACATTCTATGTTGTTTACGACTGGAACAGATGAATACAAATCTTCATAACATGAACATAATCCAAGGTTAAAGTTTGTTGATTCATGATATATAAATAACGTGTACATATTGAAACAGAAGTATATAAACTCGTCTACTGTATTGATTATTTCTGCTTTTTCACTCTAACGACCACTTGTACCACAGTGATTAGCGTTGTACTGTCTCAGTTTGATATTAGACAAATGTAACCGAAGTGAAATCAAAGGGATTTGTTTTACTGTCTGTTTATGATTCTGATTGATAATTCTAAAACCTATTTTACTGAGACTTTACACTAAACGTCACTAATAAAAAGGATGAAAGAAATTAAATGACGTTCGTTTTCATGCTGATGTATACCGCAATCAATGAGTTTAGAAAAAAATAAGTCTTTAAATCTAGCATTACATAGATGTATAAAAATCCTTACAGCTGAACGACTCGAGAATTATTTAGAAACTACCGAAGCCAATGTAGTTTTCATTAGAGGTAGGCAAAAGTAACCGAATCAAATTTCTCAGGGCGAGTGCAAAGACAGTAGATAAGGAAGAACTTGTAGAGATGAAGTGTTCTAATAGTGTTGTTATTTAATGCTATTTAACTTCGCCGCAGTATACAGTTAGTTGGGCCAGAAAAAATCACCGTGTCTGCCTGAGTACCTAATTGTTCTTCATCTTGGTTAACAAAAAATTTCGTTAGTTCACAATAACTTCCTATCTGATCATAACATATTATCATGAGGTGATTTACAATAGAATCCTGCTGATATGCTAGTTATGTAGCCGAAAAGGAAACAGTAGTGAAAATTTTCATGGATATCGTAAAATTATTTTCACCTGAAATTTAAGTTGTTCAATTCGATTAACGAATTGTTTTGTTTCAGCGACCTAACTTTCCTGATATTATAAATATGTATCATCGTTCAATAATACATCACATTCAGAGATGAAAGGGACATTCACACACGTAACAAGCTTAATTTTATTGGTCACCTGTAACAATTAGACGCCATGTTAGATGAATAACTGAACAAAGAGCGTGAATTTATAATAAGGTGCATTAATATTTTGCTTCGATATTATCACGTGCAAGACGATGTATTTCTCAATAATAGACTAATTCGCGTGAATATGATAGGTCGTTTACAAAAATTCGCAGATGACTACTTTCTCTTGAATACTATACTACAAAATTCGGAAGACCGAAACAGTGAAATACGTTTATTCTATCTCTGGGAATTAGTAAGAAGCACTGACAGATATTTAACCGGGGTTTGACTATCTAGCACCAAATAACTAGTCATGAGGTTAGCGTAAAATATTTCATGTGTAGAAGTGTACAGTTCACGACTATTTACCTGGACACTGTTGTTACTCCATCTATTAAATGACTTGTTTGTTCAGTAGTGTAGTTAACTGTGGCGGGTTTTTCATGCACAGAAAGAATATCGATTAAAATGGTCTTCTCTGTTGATTTAGGTATATGCCTAAGAAAACTGTACAAATATTTTTGCCAAAAAACGTTTGGTGATAAATGACTCCGAATTATGTGCAGCGAGGATGTCTTTGACTATTATACAACGGCTGCCATTTCAATACGGAAAGTTAAAATTAAACACATATTTGTTGTTATTTACCCTTAAACAATGAAAAAGCTCGAATATCAAAATGAGAATCAATTTCCTTGATGCTACAAACATCATGCGTTGGGAAACGTTAAAAAAATCACATTAGCACATTCTCACAAAATAACTGCAATAGGCATTTCTGTTATTTTGTTGACAATTTCAATCATTAATGGTACGGATCGACTACTATTAAGGACTAATTAATACAGAGAAGAAGCGACGTACACTGAGCCCTAAAACTTATGAAATTCAATCTTCTACTCATTCAGATATTATAAATATATTATCACTTTCATAAGAATAAAAATTCATTCCGAATGCTCAATTTATTTGAAATTGTCAAGTTAAACCTCAGTAATGGTATGATACATATTTATCATTCCTTGGGAAAAAATGCAACAAACTGTGAATTATCTTATCGAACATTGAAGGTGTTGACAAATATTTATGTATATGAAAAAATTTCGTACTGATTATGTAAGAACAAAAACAGAGTACATTCATACTAAGATGTAGGAGTTATGGTGAAACTATTACTCATGGTCGACATCGACCCATGAAACGAGGATATAGGCAAACATCCCGTATATGATCTTTGCCTAAAAGCCAAGTACAAAATCGTTCAAAACCTAATCCATAGCCACCATGTGAACAAGTTCCAAATTTGCGCTAAAGGTGAGAAATACAAACAAACAAAATTTTAATGACAGTAAACGCTATAAAGCATTCTACATACAAAATAAATATTTGGAAGTATAACGTTGTGAAACACTAAACGGCTAACTTTCACCGTAATATCTCTGGAGGAAGCACCCATCTTTGATAAAGCTAATTCACTACTTTTGAGTGAACATGAGAAAGCAGTAACTAAGTTGAAAAAAGAACATAGACAGCGATATGACTAGGATAGGTGAATTCTAGAGGTGATCAAACATTAATAGACATATAAGATAGAGACTGTGAGTTGACCATACTAATTCTGATTCAGACCAAAGGTCATCACAGTTTACAAGGATATATAAAATCCTTTAGGGAAAACCATAAATAAAACAGTTCGACTACAACAGTTTCTAAAATGTTTTTTATATATTATATATTTAGGGAGTAGCAAACCCTGAGAAAGTCATACAGGTATTTACCTGATAGTTAACGGTAATGATTAAATGTCTATTACGGGTTTTGCAACACAAATATATTGATCGACGCTCTATTACGGTCATATCTATCGACCCAAATGTGGAATTAAGCTATGTCGACCAGGCAAGTCCATTGGGATTGAAATGACGATTAGTATAAGGAGTGAATCAGAAGAAAATTAAAGGTAACCTAGCCAAAAGATGTCACCAATCAATGAAGAAGGTACATGGTTTAGATGTGTTTGTTCTTTACTTTTCTTCAAACCTTGAATCATTTTATACAATCGTTCTCTTAATTCATTGCATGTTTTCTAAGTTCGAAGATACAATGATTTCAGCTTCTTTCATTTCTATCCTGTTAACTGTGATGATGTGGAGTGTGACAATTTGGGCTGACTCATATTTGCGTCAAGTTCTGTATAGTGTTCACGATTGTTTGAACGGAAAAAGAATAGAAACTTTGATTCAACACTTTTCTGATGATTGGTCATGATAATCTAACGCCAAATATACCGAAGTATCTTATCGTTTATCTTCTAATAATCAACAAACTAAACAAGGGGAATACAGTGACAGCATACTATAGTTAAGAGATACAAAAATGGATTTTGTTCATACACTAAACGCATTATATTCAACAAACTACCTGATCTGTATACCAGTAATAAGGAGTTGGATCTATTCCCTCTAACTGATATCCTTTGAGAAGATCATCAATATTATCCAAACGCATTGATCCACCGACTAATTCACCAACGCCTGGACGAGTAGATCAACCTGCGAAGTTAACAGACACAGTGATGTTGAAATCAATGAAGCCAAAAGATGTAACTTATTTAACATAATTATTCTGGTTTGGACTCCTTAAACAGTGTGTGACAGTACTTTATTGAAGACGATGTTACAAATTGATTCAATGAAATCATGCAGTATTCGACATTATGACTAAATAATTTAAAGGTATTGTGTTCCCATGTGACGTGGATGTGAAGATGGTGCACGGTCCAATTCTGTGTGAGTGCAAAGATTTGTAGACTAGAACGAAACAGTTGTTCAGTACACTCTAGACTTTCACAGCAGATGTCCATTTATGACGTCAAACTAACTATTATCTATAAATAAAAAGTGACCAACAATGTTTAAACGCTACTGTGATTCATTTTGACTATGGTGTTGTCGATCTTTGTTTAGCTACCAATCCATAAAGACTTTACTTCTCACCATGTAAGTATTTGATTACTGTTCAAGGTTATTTTTGTGTTCTACTAATTACTATTTTCAGACGGACCATGTGAAAGTATGGTGTAAGAATCTATTGAATTTATTCATTCAACTGAAAATATACGTATTAATGGTAGATTAAAAAGCAGTAATGCAAAGAAAGGCCAATACAGTTTCAAATAAGTTATTTTTTGCTCACCTTAACATAATAACCAATTAAATATCAAAAATGCAAGGCTTATTTGAAAGCCGATTGAACAAGAAAGGGATTTTTGAATTACAAAGAACTACTTACCGAGTCAGTTAGACGTTGATCACCTTTAGTTCGCAACATATAGAAAACTTTTAATCCAGCAGGAAAATTAGTTAACAGAACTGGTTCGCCAATTGTGTCTACAAGTCGACGTTCAGGAGCCTCGGGAATGTCATCACCATATTGAAAAGGTGTAAGATCTTCTTTTGTAATACCTAAATTATTTAAATGAACAATTGCATCTTCGTACTTTAGTCGTTTAAAAGGACTTTTAGGTATTTTAAATTGCTGAAAAAGAGAATCAACCGAAATAAGAAAATGTAAATCTGATCATTGTGAACATGAACAATGTATGAACAATTTAAGCTGCATAAAACTAACAATGTCGTTAATCTGGCAAACTTAATAGTGCACGTTCCCAAATTCAGTCAGTTACTGATACTGACCACACACCCGCTTAATGTCTAAACTTGACGCTCTCGCCATGATGTTGAGATGATTATTGTGAATTCAACCTTCTTTCTACGAACTAATTCTTTCTTCCTGTACTATATTCTATTGCAATCTTTCTTTTATATATTACCACCTCTGAATTAACTACTTTTGTGAATCCGGTGTCCATCTTGTTGTGTTAATGAGGTATGGCAACTTGGACCGATGCATATATGTGCCTGGTCCTACGTTGTAGCTGACTGACTGGGGTCGCGGGTACTTACTGTAAAAATTCATATTTCAAATGATATCAAACAAGCAATCTGTCCAAATATGAAGAAGCAAAGTTTGTAACTATAATCATGACAAAAAGTATAATTTTGAATCAATCACAGGAGAAGAATGATATCATGGAATATTTGCTAATGAGTTATGGACATCCAAAAACTAATATGTACCAATTTAAGAATGCAGCAATACACATCAAATCAACCAAGTTTACATACATACTAGTTATATAATTAAACGATGAAGTAGTCTGAACATCCTACTCCTAGTAGGTTGTAAGTGTGAACACGGTTGAAATATTTTCTATTATTTTCTCCTAACTTAGTTGGAAGAGTTTTGTGGAGACTGGCTTAGTTTGTCGGTTGTATTCGCTACAGAACAATCTCGGTTGGGACTCCATTGAGAATTGTTTTATTCGAGTATGGGACTCCTCAGTGTTCGGAACTCAGGACACAATCACGAGAAAAGCTCAAACATTAGAACCACTGGGTAGAGGCATTTAATAGTACAGTTTCAGTGTCATCCAGTTTGGGGTACAACGATTATCCAAAATTATTATTGACGACTCTTTTTACTCCCAACTTGTTTGAACTACATCATCACGACTTAGAACTAGAATTTCAGAAATATCTCAAAGTTAGTCACCAGTAAGCCAACTATTATCGTCTAGTTAAAAGGGTTTTGTGAAGGTTGATTCAATTTGCAGGTTGTATTCATCAGTCATTGATGTAATCTACCTTTGAGATGAACTATCTCCGCAAATATCTAGTTCTATAAGATTAGAAAACTGAAGAAAAAACAAAATTATTTTGAAGCGAACAATAAAAACAAAAACCCATAATATATAATTACTATCATCAGTGTTATCAAGAGCAAAACTAACTGGGTTCACATCTAATAACAGATCACCGGATTTTTTCATGATGCGATCACAAACATCAACAACTAAATCTTCAATCCGTTCTAATAAACCGTTCAAATCAATAAATGGACATTCCGCTTCAACGTGATTATACTCAGATAAATGGCGCCGAGTTCTACTCTGAAAATATCAAAAGAAAATTAAACTAGTCATACACTTACAACGAAATTATATATACATGCAGTAATACCTTTGAAGTAAAAAGGGAGTAGAAGAAAGCAGTCCGTCAGTTGGTGATAGAGATGGGATAGACCGTATATGGGATAGAGCGTATCAGTAACTACAATAAGCTCCTAACTAGGGTGTAGAAGTTTTAGGTATCAAATATACACCAATAGTTCTCAGGAAATCATTATTAAGTATCGTCTAATTTTTCAATAGCAGTAAACTAATAATGCGGAAATTTCTAGAAGCATATTTATCGGATGACTATTTAGCCAAGATTCTCTTGTGGCTCAGTGATAATGAAGTGAAGCACACCATAACAGTAGAACTTGAATAATCGAGTTTTAACGACGGCACTTGGGAAGCGTTAGATGAATGTTTCAGATACAAATACAAACGTCTCAGAATCTGAGCGAATTTATCGACAGGCAGCAACAAACTGGAGAGTAAAACAGAATAGTCGGAGTAGTTAGCAACGAACAGTGCGTACCTTGACAACACTAGCAGAAACTGTGTGACACGAAATGGTACTTGAACATTTATCTCAAGAATCACAATCTCTAGAGGATATGGGAACAATGATTAAACATGATAATATAATAGAAAGGCAATAATGCTGGATTACGTAATATGGATAATAACAATGAGAGATAGTATGGGTGAATAAAAAACCTTGTTAAATAAGTTAACAACCGATCATAATATGAATAGAGTAAGATAATTAAAATGTTTTGTTACAATAATTAAAGGCATTAGAGGGGGTAAATGAAATAAAGTTATGTAAGGAAACAATAATGAGTAAAATCATGGAGATATGATATGCCAACGTGTTGGTAGGTCGGTGTCCAAAAGTGGCCAAAACAGCTTAATTCAATAATGTAAGCGAATTCGTCGTTTCATCTTGTGATAGTTATAAATTTCCGCCTGCCACTATATCAAATTATGTTGACGACTGACATATGGTAATTTTAATCTATACGAGAGTTTAAACATTTTCTACCATTGCGTTTGCGCTAAAATGGGTACTATTTCAAGTTGTGTTCAAGGTAATCAGAGGAGTTTAGTAGCTGCTAAAAGAAACACTATACATGTTCAATTAACCCATGGTTATTATGAACAACCAAAATGCGTACATTTAATTGCAGACAGTTGTTCATAGTCTGCAATAATAAAACACAAGATGCTATTTCTGGTAATGATTGTCCAGAACAACGTAAAGCTTCAATGAATCTCAAGGCTCCCCGCCCCGTCATTGATAGACATGCAGCTTCGGTACTACTGGTCACTATTGACTCAACCAAGATGAAGCCATAAATGTCACTGGATGGAGTTTAACTTTTAAACCGGCTCGATCCAATATGAAACCAGACAATCATACACGTAGTGATCTTGCGTTCTTACTCCAAAAATTTAATGAGTAGCAAATCGAGAAAGAACAATTCTCTTTAGCATATAATTAATCCATGTGAGGGGGTTCACTAGATAACATCCTAAGAGAATATCGATCGATCACTAACCATACCAGGACATTATGATTTAGCCGTCTGTATATCTATGGGGCATCTCATCTGTTGTATTGATTAAAACAGGAATGGTTTACTTAGACTATGTGTGGACAGCCGTTAACTTGACCTTATCACTAAGTGAAATTTATTCTATTCCCCTCAGATAAAAAAGTTGGTAGTTGAGCAAGGTTCGTTAGTTCGGGAGATATATTTTCAATACAAACTGCGCAAGCGCAAACAAATTCACGATCTCTGAATACTGTGCACAACAAACAGTGTTCAAATGGGAATCTACAACACTAAATAGAAAACAAAGATTGTTGGTAAAACGTACTTTTTCAGCTCGATAGCTACGGTTATGCAGTAGCAGTCACCTACGGCAGGTATACATGTTTCTAAATACAACTGAGACGACTGAGACATGAATGCATTCTCACCAAAGTAATTCAAAGAAAACAATGTAGAACTGCCTTCGACTTGAGTTTGAACAAATGTCGGCGGTAAAACCTAGAAATAAAAACAAAAGAAACAAATTATTCAGTTTATTTTGAATAGACTGGTATATGACCTAGTTATAATGGAATAGTATATATATATATATATATATATATATATATATATATATATATATATATATAACCAAGTTCTTACGAGGGGCATTTTGATCTGAAAAACTTGGAGGTAACAATCATGGCTGTCATGTTGAACGACACAAATGAAAATTGCCAAAGGAGAACGATGTTACTTACGGCTTCATTGCAGATTAAGAACAGTAAGTATGAGGGTTTAGTAGAACAAAGTACTTGAGACCAGTAGGAAAAATATGACTGATTAGACTGTGAAGATTATCAGTGTTATTTTGATGGTCAACAAAATTTATTATTTATTTCAACACATAAATATCGGTACAAGAGGGCACCAAATATATATGCGCCACACCATATTTGTGTGTGTGGGCTGTGACACTGCCCGGATGCCCAAACCGAAGCAGGTGGTCAACAAAATATCAAACACTAATCGAGCTTACAATAATAATAACTATCAATGCATCATTGGAAAATGATGGATAAGAGAGCTATCAATAATTGATAACATCGTTTAGTAACTTTATTTATCAGATGTATATCAAGAAACCTTTTACAATATATATTATCTAAGTTGTATATATAAACGGGAGTACAATACTAAAACAACGCAAATATTTAGTGCTTCCGGGTTTCTCAATCATTCTTCTCTGGTGAATATAACGGTTCATGAAGTAAACCGACTATAAAAACTAAACTTATCTTCATATATATTTAGATAAAACAATTTTTGGCTAAGGGTATACGAAAAGAGACTACTTTTGTAGCAAAACTAACCTCCACATAACCACGATCTAGGTAATGTGCACGGAAAGCTTCCAAAGCAACGCTGATGAGCCTGAGCACTTTCGATGTCTAAATTGAAAATGAAGTATCAAAATAAAAAATATATACAAAATATAAACACTTTATAAAATAAGAATAATCGACATTAACACCATAGATCTATTCGCGTTTGTAATCAGTTTTTACAAACATCAAATATTAAATGTTATTTCTGACTTTATTCCTTAATCTCATTGGTTATTTTTAGAGATGCATCTTATGATTCTTTACTTTTACTGACCCCAAATGCCCTTGTATGGTCGAGGGTGATGAGAGATCACTCTCCCTCTCGAATATAGGTGGCATACTTGAATATCTGGGCTAGCTGATCCTGCCATCTAGATATATCAACAAGTTATCTGTTTTTTGTTTGTTTTAACACCTAATTGTCTATTAGTCGCATAACTTATTTAGGCGCGTTTGTAAAACATTTATGACCTTTTGGTGTATAATTTACAAGAAAGTACAATCAGTGACACCATGATTACCGGCAATATGAATTGAAAAGAATGCACATTATTCGGGTGTTAATTCCTGAACTAACGTCTAACGGGCGATCACTCAAGATGTTAATCAACTTCTCAGGAACACCCTCCTTCAATAGACAATCTCAGAGAACAATCCTGTTCAACGAGTCGAAAGTGGCCATGATGTCAAGAAACATAACGACTGTTGACCTGGAATAAGTATGTCAGTGTTCTAACATTTGGTGGAGATATGATCAATACATCCTCGACCAAAACCAGCCTGCTCTTCGCGAGCCAATCTTTCTCGTATTTTGAACAATCTACGAAGTATGACGGTAGCCAATAGTTTGGACGCAATCAGAAATAGACTGGTTCCTTGATAGAAACGACGTGAACCCCTTTTTAAATATAAGAACAACTATCGACTCGTTCTATGGTGTTGAGACACTCTCTAATTGCCGGACCATTGTAAATAACTCAATCAGTTCCATAATCAGAAAGTCACCATCTTTAAAAAGGGCCGGGGTTAAGTCATATGGGTCTGGTGATTTCTGGCGCTTTAAGAGTTAGAGCTCCTTGCGGACTTCTGCCTCATCAGGTGGATCAGTCGTCAGAGGTCACAGATGGAGAGCGAATTTGTAGTACTTCACTAGATTCTTGAATACGGGTCTCGGGAAGACAATAGATATCGATACTAGGGCTTTTTAGAGACATAGCCAACCCTATCTGTTGTCTGATCCGTATTAGAGTACGAACATTGAAGGAAGCCAGTTCGAATGGCATACATTGTTTTAAAAAGAATGAGTAAGCATTCATAATCGGTGTTAGCATTCAACTTTCAACCAGCTAGCGACTCAGGATCGTCTAGGTAGGACATAAACATTAACATTAGGATGCCAGTATACCCAACTGACGAATCTAAAATAGGATAAAAACGAGTGTCTTATATCCAAATGCTGACCACAATCCACCTATTCTATAAAAAATTTGTAGCAAAATGGCTATATATCGAGACAATAAGTACAGAATGCAGATATGCCAACTAGAACTGATCAAAATCCAGTCAAGAATATAAACAACGGGATCATCCTTACAGATTAAGAACTAAAGGTTGTTCTTTTCCTCATCTGAGGGAAAAATATACAAAGGATTTAAAATGACAACGCTATACATCGGTTAAGGCTGCAACATTTAAAATTAAAATGGAAAAGGATTGATAGCTGGAAAAAGAATGGCAAAAACGTAAGACAATGAAGATACTGATGAAAATGGTGTAAAAAAATTCGGAAGGGAGATCGAATGAGAGCGAGAAATACGATGTTCAAAGATTTACATTGTTGACGTTTCACTTAAAATATAATTATGGATGGTGATTATGTTCACACAAAAACAGAAACTTTGGGGGAACTAAAAAGATTATTAAACACTACTTACATTTTCTCCTCGAATAACCAAATGTCTGTTGTCCAACTGAGTGTCTATATCACTTTCCACAGTTAATACAGAGTCGATACCACCAGCTGGCGCTTTACCAATCATCGTCCAACAATCAGCAACTAATTCTATGCCACCAGGAGCTGACTTACCAGATGGCAATTGTTTTACCACTCCATAAACTTCGACAGTAGATTCTGGTGATAGTGTGATTGCATCTTGAGTTAAACACTTAAAAAGTAGTATGGCATGAAAAAAAAATAAATTGTATGTGGTCGAATTGAAAGCGATTAAAAAACTATAGGCCAATTATTGATAGAGTAAATTAATCTACGAATCAATCTGTATGCCTGGCAATTCGGTCAGGTGGGTGAACACGGAGGATTCACCTAGAGAAGTTGGAAAACCCTGATCCCAAACCAATGGTTCACATGGGCTCCAGGATCCTGAGGGAACAAATGGTCTACGAACTTACTGTTGGTCACCGGCTACTATGGGACTACGTCTCCTTATGTTGCTCCACTGCCTTGTGGTTTGGATCCCCTAAGGAAATCACCTGCCTCGGCTTGGGTACCTGGGCAGTATCACAGACCTCACACAAATCGAATGATGAAGAGTGGCGTATATATATATATATATATATATATATATATATATATATATATATATATATATATATATATATATATATATATATATATATATATATATATAGTGCCTCATTGTACCAATGTTTATGTTTCAATAAATAATGTTTGACTAAAAGTTGTATCAGTCCTCGTAAGGTGATTGCTGAAGAAATCTAAGCGAGTAATATGATCTCACACCAATAGCAGGGACATAAATTATTGAACAACCAGCATTGGTGCCCGACACTACTATGTATTTGTAAGACAACTATTAACAGTAGACGACGTCAAAGGTTTAAAGATAATGCATTGTCGACTGTGATCCTTGATTGACCGTAGAAATGTCAAGTTGAAACCCACTATAATAAATTACTCGTTTGTAAAAATTATCAAGTTGCAACTGTTCGAGGTCCTACACTTTGATTGACTTATAATACTTCTCGCAAAAAATACTTTGGCTGTTGTTTAGCACAATATTATTGCATAAGGTTTCATCCAGCAAATATAGCAAGTATGCTTGATGTGACCTTACGGAGAACGCTTTTAATCTTTTTTTCTAGACCCTCTTATTAAATCAGACTTTCATGACAGATACTGTTTAGGATGAAAACAAAACTGGTCATTGTATTTAGTAAGAGATGACAGTTTTTATTCAATAAGACTGACGTAAACCAAAGTGTCGCTAGTTTGTGTCAATGTTTTGCCTTTCCTGAATGACCAGTCTTCGACTGTATATATCCTGACTGCCTTCTCCACTAGCTGAGCCTGTAGCTCTTCTAGGGCAAACGTTAGTCCCAAGCCCCGCTAGAGGAAGTTTGAGTGGGGTCAGCAACCCCATCCTAAAAACAGCACTGCTAAAAACTACTAACCAGAATAAACAAATTAAACCATTTAAGTTCTGCGCTTTGAGCTGAATGATCTTCTTTCAGAAGAATTATGACGCATTATGGTAAAAGCCGAGATTTTTCGGAAGTCAAGAGGCAGATGATACTTCTAACAACCACAGCAACAATTAATATACGAAAATGGAATGTCCGCACAATGTGGGAGACCGAGAGGGCTAATTGAATAGCTATAGAAATCAGTAAACACAAATGAGCGGTGCTCGAAATAGGTGAAACACAGTGAGTTCGAACTTGACAGAAAAAGATAAAATCGGGAGAGATGATGCTGTACTTCATTCAGAAGAGGAAAATGCTCCACACACCCAGAGAGTTGCTCTGATGCTGTCCAAAGAAGCACGAAATGCACTTATAGGATGGAAATCTCATTGATTTAGAATCGTCAAAGCATCATTAAACAAAGAGTATCGAAATATCATGGGACGATGTGGGTTGACTGAAAAAAGGAACGAGAATGGTGAGAGATTCGCAAACTTACGTTCATTCAACAATACGGTTATAGGTGTTACAATATTCACCCACAAACGCATACACAAAGCTACATTGGTCTCAACGGACCACACTACACAGAACCAGATCGACCATAATTGCATCAACAAAAAGTTCACGAGGTCAATAGAAGGAATGAGAACCAGGAGAGGAGCCGACATAGCTTCATGTCACCTCATGGTGGTTGCCAAGATGAGAATGAAGCCAAAGAAGCCCCCAAATGACCTGGTACGGCCGAGAGTGGGCAGAGTCCGCTCTCCCTCTCGAAATGCTCTCACATGGCCACGCGTATATAGCATCTGCCAGGGAAGTCCTACTCCCTGCCTTCTCGTGGCGGGGGTGTTGTTTACGAAAATGAGAGGACGAAAAGCGAATGTCCGGCGCTTTAACCGGATTCCAAACCAATGGTGCACATGGGCTCCACCATCCTGAGGGGACAAATGGCGTATGAACCAATCGTTGGTCCCCGGCTACCATGGGACTGTATCTCCTTACGATGCTCCACTGCCTTGTGGGTCAGACCGTTAGGTCAAAGGCTCAGGGTGTGGCCCCCTAAGAAAACCACCTGCTTCGGTTTGGGCACCCGGGCAGTATCACAGCCTTCACACATCGAATGAGATTTGTGTGGCGCATATGTATTTGGTGCCTCCTTGTACCAATATCTATGTATTAAAATAAATAAAATAAATAATAGACAGACAGCATTACAAAGGTTCAATAGAGCCTTAATTTGAGATATTCACAAACTCAACGAATTCAAAATAACTCTCAAAAACACGTGCCACACCTTACAAGATCAACTCAAAAGGAACTACTACAGAGGACAATAGGAAAGGGATCAAGGAAGCACTAACATCAACGTGTCAAGAGGTTCTGTGCCTCAATAAGCATCACCGTAGGGAACGGATCTCTATCGAAACTCTGGACAACCACTGTGGTAGAAGCCTCAACACACACAAGGAAAAACCCAAGACCCTAGAATACATCACAGAGAACACCCACCAAATCACACTCGATGGAGAAACTATCGAATAGGTAGAAAATTTCACGTACACCCACAGCATCATCGATGAACAAGGGGGACCCGGTGCAGACGTACAGTTAATTAGTGGCAAAGCAACGGCAGCATTCCTACAGTTGGAGAACATATAGAACCCAAAACAACTGTCTGTCAACCAACATCAAAGTCACAACCTTCAGTACGAACGTCAACACAGTTCTACTGTACGCAGCTAAAACTTACAGAACCACCACAACCATTATCAAGAGAGTACAAGTATTTACAAACAATTTTGTATGTAAGATACTCAGTGTCCGTTGACTGGATACCATCAGCGACAGTCCACTGTGGGAGAGAACAAACCAGCTTCCAGTTGAAGAAATTAAAATAGACGTGGGTAGTGGATAGGACATACATTTCGGAAGTCATCAAACTTCATCACGAGGCGAGTGCCCACATAAAATGTTGAAGGGAAACGAAAAAGAGGAAGGTCGAAGAACACACTGCGTTGGGAATTGGAATCAGACATGAGAAGGATTAATCGCGACTGGAAAGGACATAGTTCGATGGAGAATGCTGGTGGGCGGCTTATGCTCCTCCACAAGAGATAACATGCGTAAGTAAGTCTTCACTTCTCTGGTTATTTTTAAATGAATTCGTTCTTAGAAAACATCAAAAATCGCAGTTCTCTATACTTAATCTCTTCAAGGAGAAAATAAGAAGAGACTCGAAGGGATAATTACAAGAGGAAGTCATCACTTCATGAAAACTAAATACTACTGTTTAGGCATGATTAGAAAATCCCGAATTTGACTGCTGGGAGAATTCAATCGAAGTTGAATAAATCATGTAACTCATTAACATGGTTAGCTCAAAACATGACAGTAGTCCAGGAATTCATTGAATTTTGGGCTAGGGTGTGTACAGAGTTTGCACTTCCTGTATTTATTTATGTGAACACAGAAACATTAGTACAAGGTGGCACCAAATACATATGCGCCACACAATGACAATGCCATAGTAGTTATCATTGATTTGTGTGAGGTCTGTGTTACTGCCCAGGTACCCAAGCCGGGGCAGGTGGTTTCCTTAGGGTACACTCCCCGAGTCTCTGACTCTTAGGTCTAAACCACAAGGCAGTGGAGTAACATAAGTAGATGTACTCCCATAGTAGCCGGTGACCAACAGTAAGTTCGTAGACCGTTTGTTCCCTCAGGATCCTGGAGCCCATGTGAACCATTGGTTTGGGATCAGGGTTTTCCAACTTCTCTAGGTGAATCCTCCATATTCACCATACTTCCTGACTTAGGTATATGATACAATACCGATCTATGATCGAACAACTTGAGGGAAATGCTTTGAAGTCAGTTGCAAATGCATTACTAAACGTCTTATTTCTTGACTTCATTCACTCAAAAATAGAAGGCCTATCATTGTGCAAAACTTACCAGGTTGTTTGAAAAAAGACATTGCAAGAACCCAGTACCATCCCGAAGAACAATGAACATTAAAGTTTTACTCTGACGACGTATTCGATGCACCCAACCATACACACGTACACGTTGATCGTATAAGGTTTGTAAATCACGAATTTTACATTGTTTTGCTTCAGGTAATTTTGTGTCCAAAGTCAGTTGAACATCCAATGCTTCACTAAGATTACCGTTTTCAGCAGGTGGCTGAGAAAGAAATGCAACAGTCTAATAAGAACAGCAAAAAATGTATGTAAACTGTAATTCACACAGTACAAGTTTATGTGTTTGGCTTTGAGCTATATTATTTCTGTGAGGCCTATCGATTTTACTACGATAGGTGGGGCTGAATTCAAACCCTTTATCTACTGATTGACAATCCAGTGTTCCAACCAATAGACTACATTTGGAAGCGCATGAGACACTGAAGAACAGCTTCCACAGTTAGCTTTATTTTTTTTGCCACAGATGCTACGGAACAAAGCGGTTAATATTTACAAATATATTGTGAACTTTGTGTAGCAACTAATGAATATTAAAATAAATAGCAGGATAGTGAGAAACGGTTGTAAAGGTTCGTTTAAAAATATCTTTACTTTCATATGACCTTTAAACATCTTTGCAATGTAGATTTATTACTATTCTAAGCAGCATATTTCTTAATTTTCATTAATTCACTCATCAAGCTTAATATAATCGGCTTTGATCCAAACATTTTATGGAGACTGACTACTACTGAGAGGCAATATTATTTGCTAAGATCGATGTATATGAACAGAACGTTTGAGTGAAGTTGTGCTTTTAATACATCCATCAACAAATATTTCAGTATGTCAAGAGTGAATACATACACAAACTATGTAGGATAGGATTCGGATTACCAGGATGGATAAAGAAACGTAACAGAAGTTTTACATGGGATCCCACTCGTATCTTACCCTTGTGTGGCATTCAAACAGTTTGTTAGTCCACACAGTTTCGCACCAAGTTACTGAAGTAATGTACTCGGAGAGCATATCCAGTAAGATCTTGACTGTCTTTATACACACAAATAATAGTCATCATTTTTGCTACACTGTCGATACAGTAGTCTGTAACTACAGTTATTAAGGAAACTCAAGGTGTCAACAGTGACCTTAAGCAGCATTTATCTCGAAATCGCATATTATGGTGGATGTCTTGTACAATCGCGAGTTTTGGCACCAAAATGATGCACATATTTACTTAGATTTTAAGTTGATTGCTTCAGATTACTCAGACAACAAGAATTTAAAATCCTGTGGTCATTATGGCTAGGTTGGTCACAAATGATAATACACGGGGGCTATAGAACGCAGTTATGTGTAAATAATAGGTTGTGTAGAAGCCGCCAATACTGGAATAAGTAAATATTACATTACTTGCAAGCAAGACTTACAACTTTTCCCTTTGGCACCTTATCATGTTTTCTTTCTTGAATATGATATTGTTTGATCATCTTCTTTAGTTTCGATTTAGATACAGGATCCCACATTTCATTTTCAACACCATCAACCCAGATGCACGTATCTGCATCAATTTTCCCATCTAACTTAGCGATGGCCTGAAGAATAGTTTTTAGAGGAGCTTTTTCTGTTCCGTCTCCAGTTGTATCGGAGCCACGCTTTTCAGAAGTATATATCTGCATAGTGATATTTGTCCCGTTCAAGTCTAATAAGGGTGAAATAAGTTTAGATAATTACATCCAGGAGTTATTAAGAGATAAATAGCGTAGGATAAACGTAAGTAGTGTTCATCACAACGCGTTAAGATTGCTAGATGATAAATATTTCATTAGATTGAACACATCTGATATGGGATAATGCAAATAAGACTCCACAAAAAACGCGATATCCAGTTGTTTCGTGAATTTCTTTTAGTAATATTAAATGGTATTTGGTCAATACCAGCAAATTCAAGTGTCAAATTATTAGTGTTTGGTATGCTATCTATTCAGTCCTATTAACTATATATTTTTAACTATATTTCTAAGTTGTGGTTTATTGTGTCTCATATACTCGAAAATTTGCTATTCATATTGATTGCAAACCAACAACTACTGACGGATACAGCAAAACATCCGAAATATACCCCAGTTGCCACATATAACCAGGACAGCAAGAAATCAACGGAAAAGTAAAGACCAAAAACTAATGCTAGAAAGAAAAGGTACGAATGAGGACGTGATGACATATCTACATAAAGTGCAGACAGGTTGAGTTTGTATTCTTAAGAGGGTACTAGTTAGAGGGCCAGTGAAAACCAGGAAATACAGAACACGTGTCTTGTTCTAGTATGAGACTTTAGAATGTCTTCAATCTTCAGTAATAAGGATAGTAGGTTGATGAACCTGTATTAATCCTGACACACTGCTTTCCAGTGAAGGTCCAGCTTCTCCTTGAAAGTATTCACTGATGGGGCTGATACCACTTGTTCGGGTAAGGCGTTCCAATGATTGACTACTCTATGAGAAAAACGGGACCCAACTTTAAGTTTATTAGATCTTGGTTTATGAACCTTCTTGCTATGGCCGCGATTATTAGTGCTGGAGGGAGCAAAAAGATAAGACATATTAACACCCAAATCATAATTAAAGATACGAAATGCCAGTCACCTCATGTCCTGCGATTCGACAAGAGGAAAAGATTTAGGCGGTTTAAACGCTCATCGTAAGGGAGTCTAGAAAGACCCTTCACTAATTTCGTTTCCACACGCTGGACACGCTCAAGGGAGTTAGTATCCTTTACCAGACACCGGCTAGCCGTTTGGATACAGTACTCTAAGTGTGATCTTACATAGGTGGGATATAAAATTCGAAACGTTTCCTCGTCAAAAGATTTGAACGCTTGCCGAAGTGACCATAACGCACGAAAACCTTTGACAGCGGCTGCTTTGCAATGTGTAGTTGTTTTGAAATCATGACTTAATACTACTCCTAAGTCTTTATGCTCTTGAACGCATGGAAGAGGTTTACCCTCAATAGTGTAACGGTAACTATTACCGTGACCGATGTGCATTGGCACACTCTTCTTAGCATTGATTTCTAAGCCCCACTCTCGAGCCCATCTAACTAAATCGTCTAAGTCAGCTTGAAGATCCACATGATCAGCCGCACTTTTTATTGTTCTCCAGATTTTTACATCATCCGCAAACAATAATGTCGACGACCTAAGTAACAGCGGTAACTCATTAACGTAGAGAAGGAAGAGCAGAGGGCCTAAGATGATGCCTTGGGGCACACCACTTCTGATCGGCTTCCAATCGGATAGCGTTCCGTTGACCCTCACTCTCTGTCTGCGGTCACATAAAAAATTTCCTATCCACTCATGTACAGTACCTATTATTCCGAAGCTCGTGAGCTTCTGCATAAGACCTACGTGTGAAACCTTGTCAAATGCTCTGCTAAAATCTATGAATATCACATCGACCGACAGACCGTTATCTAGGGCTGCTGTCCAATCCTCCCTCGCAATAAGCATGTTAGTCAAGCATGAATGCTTGTCACGAAATCCGTGCTGCTCAGGAGCTAACAGATTGTGTAAATCTGTGTGGCTTAGCGACCTAACCCGAATTAACTTTTCAAGTAACTTAACGACTATGTTATTTGGAAAGTGAATTCGGGTTAGATCCTGTACTGCACCAGAGATCGAACCTGAGACTTTCAGGGTCTAGGGTGAGGTTTTAACCTTCAGATCGTTAATCTGAGATTTAGTGGTTATTTTGTGATCTCAAAACCACGGAATTCAATAAACTACGCAACTCCCTATCCCGTTAAATTCAGTTTTTTAGCTCTTAAGGAATTACATTAGTACTAGTGTGGTGTCTGGATTTCAGTTAAAATAAACATCTCCACCGATGGGACTCACATCTGAGGTAGCTTGCATGGAGCCTGAAATGACATTGTATGGACACTGAGTGAGCGAAGCATTGTATGAGGCTTCATAGACGTGTATAAAAGTCGGATCCAAAACATGAGAGCAGACAACTCAGTAAAATATTGAGTCAACTTACACAAAATAATAAATCTAGTCGATAATAAATAACAGTTAATGTATGGTGTGAAGGCAATCTGGTAGTCGAATCAGAGTGGCAGTCAGATTTCAAACGTGTCACACAACTTTAAACCTCAGCTCGAAATCTAGTATCCCCAACATACGAAATCCAATGTCATAATGAACTCAAACGTCAGCCTTGTTACAAAAACATTACATTGGAAATATCGGGAATTAAAGACGGGAACTTTCATCAAGCCCAGTAAAATAAATCTGGGTACTGTGATAGCAAGAGTGCAGGTTAGGTGCAGAAGTTTTGAATATTGTCTGCCTAAAGAACGTTAAAAGCTGAGAGTTTAAGAGAGATAGTTGATAAAAACCTGGTTGGTGGATAATATTAGATATGTTTTACCTTTCGGATTTGATCCAGTGAGCGCATTTCATATTACTGGCTGTTAAGCATTAGCGGAATGATCGGTCTCCTTTCACCAACTTCTTGTTAGTAGGAGAGCTTGCTTCGTTACGAGAAGATGTGATTCCTGTCACATCATTTCTAAAAACTATGGGACAAAATGTTTACTTGGTAGTATCGAGGGTTAACAGAATTATAGTAATCCTTAAGCCTATTTTGATAGATTTACGGGAAAATATCACTACAATAACATGACAAGGAGACTTACTGCTTACTAATTTCACAAGCGAAAAAGTGTTGGCTTGAATAGACTCCTGATAATGCCTGTGTGAATTTACCCTGAAAACTTATACTAATGCTTGTCAAATATTCACACATTACCCATGCGTAATTATAATAAATCACAAGCTTGTTCAGTGGGTGATAACTTATTTACTTCTATACAGGTTGTTTGAGTCATCCTAGTGATGATTAGGACTACGATTGCACAAACTAGTAGCTGTTTAAACTAAGTGGATAACACAATGGCTTTGAAGCGAACAGTAGTGGGTTCGGGTCCTGCAATGGGAATCAACTTTGTGATGCAGGTGCATCCAGGTGATGAATTTCAAACACGATGAAACGCGCGTCCTGGACTTCACTGCTAGCCACCGTCTGTCCCTGCTCATAGTGTATGAGGAAAATTTGTTTTAGCCAATATCAATTACTTTGATGTTTGGTAATCAAATTACATTGGATAATAATAATCATGAAACGGTTTGTAACTGTAGGCAATCCCTTCCAGTTGGCATTTAACCTATTCAGGTCTGATTCCAATTCCCAACGCAGTGTGTTCTTCGACCTTCCTCTTTTTCGTTTCCCTTCAACATTTTATGTGGGCACTCGCCTCGTGATGAAGTTTGATGACTTCCGAAATGTATGTCCTATCCACTACCCACGTCTATTCTTAATTTCTTCAACTGGAAGCTGGTTTGTTCTCTCCCACAGTGGACTGTCGCTGATGGTATCCAGTCAACGGACACTGAGTATCTTACATACAAAATTGTTTGTAAATACTTGTACTCTCTTGATAATGGTTGTGGTGGTTCTGTAAGTTTTAGCTGCGTACAGTAGAACTGTGTTGACGTTCGTACTGAAGGTTGTGACTTTGATGTTGGTTGACAGACAGTTGTTTTGGGTTCTATATGTTCTCCAACTGTAGGAATGCTGCCGTTGCTTTGCCACTAATTAACTGTACGTCTGCACCGGGTCCCCCTTGTTCATCGATGATGCTGTGGGTGTACGTGAAATTTTCTACCTATTCGATAGTTTCTCCATCGAGTGTGATTTGGTGGGTGTTCTCTGTGATGTATTTTAGGATCTTGTTCAGCAGTTATTATAACCAGACTCCCGATCCTTGGTTACTCTGAATGCATAAACGATGAGAAAGCCGTGGTTTAGACATCCGGGTAGTTCGAATTTAATTTATATATTACAAGATGCCATAGTGAAGTATCGTATTATAATGGGACATGTTATGAAAAATCCTTAGTATTTCACCCTGAATTTCAAAATGCGTGATAACAGAATAATGTCTAATTGTGAACTTTAAGTTTATGGTCATAATTACAGATCGAACGATTTCAGACGATGAGTAAAATAAATGTATCTAAGTTAGGTAGACATGGTGTTATACACTAAGTTATTTGTTAGTAAGTTAGATATTTCAATGAAGTTTTCAACCTGCTGATTCGACTCCAACTATGATGAACGTATGAATATGTTATTGAACCTTCCGTCTAACTACGTATTGTACCTAGCCTAACCATGTTTATCTTGTAGTGACTCACATTTATCACGAGAACACGACTGGTTTAATAAAAACAATTATTATTATAACCAACTGTACCAGTGTTTGTTTTAATGTGCTTTTCTTTGATTGTGCTAATGACAGCTATATTGTGCTTCCATTCATATACTTACACTTTGTTTGTGACTTCGCGCGAATTCGGTTACGTTCTGTAACCAAGCTTGTATCCTGGCACGATCTTAGTATCCTTTCGATGCCACGAAATCGCCAGCGAATATATCTCGATTTGGTCCATTAATTGCCTTCTGATATTTGACTTCTCGGGGATTTTATGGATTTATTTGGTTACGTTCAACCCTCGTCTTCTGATTTACTTGGAACGTGTTTCTCTGTAGCGGTGTTCATAGTCGATTTCGACTCGGCGCCACGCTACAATGTGACGGCGCTAATAATAAGCCAAGTACGAGTTGTATTGTAGAAATTTATTTCAAGTATTGCTTTATCCAAACAGATATTCGGAACAGTTATGTGGAAGCGAAGAGGAGCGGATAATACGAGGGAGCCGACTTAATTTGGTCAAGTGCGAATCGACATGTATAGTAAGACAAAAAAAGTTACAGACATGCGATGAGTGGGATATGGAATGTACACACATAAACTAATATTAAAACAGTCAAAGTTAACAAGCGAATAATTAACAAGGTCAAAGTGTGACTTGAAGAGACTTAGTTATTCAGGCCCTCTGGAAGCTAGAATAATCCATATGAGCTTAAAGTGTAATACATACTTCGGTTTCTCTTATTATGTCACTAAGAATACGAAAGTTCAAAGCTTTCAGCAGTAATACATGTCCCTACAAAAAAACCTTCACTTTTTCTCCCGAGAGCAGTCAGGTGTATGTGTAAACCAGTAACGATATTCAATAAATTCACTTTATATATCATCGACTGAAGTCAAAAAGCAGTTTAATGGGAAAGTAGAACCATCATTTGAAAATTGTGGACAATATAGTAGTAAGAAATACTAGAAAAGAAAGGAAAAAATACACATAAATGCGGTCGCAAAAAACGACGCATCAAAGGAAAGCCAAAGTAGTAGTCATAAAGAAATCAAAATCAAGGAATTATCCCTTACATTTGCACCAGAATCATGCGAATTCCGTTCCATGAATAAACTACGACGAATGTGAGAGGCAAAATTATTCAATATCGAAATGATTATTAACGTAATTATCGAAGGAATACTTCACTAGTTGCGGTATATTTGATGCTTGTTTCCAGGTTGGTGACCTTTTAAACAAAACGTACTCTGTATTCAACTACTGGTCGTAGGTTAGTTCGTGGGCAACGCTAGGTAGTTTCACACCTGAACGAACTGGCCGTCCAGTGCCTTCAGTTTTTCAGTGGTTGTCTAACTTTAATCGGTTAAGGGTGTTTATAAATGCATGCGTTTTCCCTTGAGCTATGGGGTCGCTTAAACCATTAGCCATCCTATAAAAGTTGTAAAACCCATAAGATGTCAGTTAAAATCAGGCTGGGGAAGAGTACGTTTTAAGTAGGACAAGTAAATGAATTGATTAACTGAATAAACATAATGACTGTGTAAATTATTATGCAAAACCGAGAAGTAAACGGAACTAATAAGAATCAAAGATAGATAAGATTAGTAATTAGATTCGGTTTCCAAAGTCTGCTGATATAGATGTAGATACACTTGGATGACTTATAGATGCGAATGACTGAAGCACAGGAAGTCGACCGAATATCCTTAATAATAATAACATATTCTCAAATAACAGTCTGTTACATGAGGCATGCCAGTTCACAGGCAAAATCAAATTGTTACAGGAGATACAGACTTCACTGTATTGGGTTACCCAGTTAGGTTGATATTTGATAAAGTACATTGGCCATGAAATTATGGGGAATAAAACATCTCTCATATGAATGTAAATATTATTATTGAGACTCGTATTGTCAATATGGCAGTTGGCGCGCTTTATGCAGAATGCTTTGGAACGTGCAACTAATGGTCGAGAATAAATCCACTTGAAACTGAGAGCTCTTAGAACCCGCAACCTTATACCCCTCTGGAACATCCGAGGCATTAATGGTGGCGCGGGACGAAGTCACCCGTTTCATATGTGTTTTCGGTGGCATATCTCGAGGGGGCTGGAAACGAGGCCTATATTCTGGTAAGCTCACTAGAGCTGAGTGTATTTTAGAGTTTGTGGAGGAGAAAGTGACAAAAGGAGTGATGCTTTCCTTCTATGCAGTTGCTCACAATCTCTCACCTAAGTTGATGGATATTTGCCTCTCAACATGCGGTATACTGAAAGTCAACTGCCAAGCCATCCTCCTTAGTAAAAGTAGGATAGATCGACATTCCCCACCTGTTTAAATTTTGCTGTTGTATTGATTCCAAACAGTTTATTAGTTAGAGCAAATATACTAGCTCGTTAATTCCATACAATAAAATAAAAGTCACTCCAGACTTAACGTCCTGTCAACGTCGTGTAAGAAATCATGAAGCGATAGCTTTGCAAGATAGTGTCACAGCAAATAATCAATTAGTGATAGTTTACAACACAGTAAATAATTTAAGGCGCATGAACAATGAGAACGACGCGACTCCACAAACGGCAGATCACTCTGTAGGTCAGAAACCTTCGAATAAGATACCTATCCTAACTGTCATCGAAAAACATAAAGGCGTTATTAAGTCCGGCTGTTCGTGCAGCAAAGTACCTAAGTGTGATCCGTGTGACGACACACTTGCAATCAAAGCTATTCATTCGAAAACTAGTCCTCCTGAAGGTACTTCGCAAGATAAATCGAATGAAATTGGATTAGTCTCACAGAGACAGAAGAACTCTCCAGCTCTGATAAAAAAGTGTGAGAAACAAAATCCACGATACAGATTAGGGAAGCACGTAAGATTGAACCCAGCTGTTCTGTGGTTATCCCAACGACAGTGAACAGATTCTCTCAGCTGATAATATGCAACTTGCCGTCAGCACCTTTAAGTAGCAAGACCGGTGGTAGACTTCAGCATAACAAAACTTTCCACACGCAGACTAACAAACTATCACAGTACCGTCCACTTCACTCGCGCCCTAAAATCCAGAACCATTATTAAGTATGGCAATATTAGGTTTCTCAGTCCACATCATCTCCCTACTCTCCAGGGTTCCAAATGTAATTACTATCCAACGGAAAACTTTTCACATCCTTCAGTAAAAAC